ACACTGGGCTCACATCATCAGAGGAAATCAGATACCTTGTGAAAATCTCTCTCTCATACAATCCAAAAGTCCCTCTAAGATTTAGGGAAGAAGAAAAAAAAGAAGAAAGAAAAAAAAAAAAAGAATCATGGTATTATAAGGAAATATAAAAAAATTACCAGTGAATAACCATGAAAAAGTGCAAACAATTTTGGAGCCAGCATAGAGCACCAGAGTGATGGTACTAACACAGATGTGCCAAGGCCATTTCTGTCCTGGACCTGTTCTCAACAGCCATTCTGATTTGATTTCTCTCTTATTTCCTGATAAAATTAGGAGTGGCTGGTTCTAATTTAAAACCTCCTTACAACATGGGAGTTTTCACATAGCAAGAAAAGAAAGACAGAAAACGAAGCGCGTTTCACAAGGAAGAAAACAACTCATTGGGAAGATCTGGGGTTTCACACAACAGAAGCCCGTGCAGAAGCTTGGGGAGCGTTGTGCAAAACATATGTTCAAAGTACAAATACTAGAAGAATGAAATATCATGAACTGTAATCTAGATAGGCACACTGCAGATCAGAAAGATGATTTTAATGGTGCTACTGACTCCAAAACAACAACTGCAGCTTCAATGCCATCTAAGATTAAGGTGCCTATTTGGTAGTTAAAACTGTAAATGGCCAAACATTTCTGATGGAGACAGCAAATTCTGAAATCTTATTTGTTTTCAAAGACCCGAGGGCTTTGAAAGATAATTGGAAAGAATGCAATAGTCTAGCAACCTGTAGCAGCACAGAAGTGACAAATGCATTCTCTAAATCATGATTTTCTGGACAAAATAACTGTTTCTCCCTCTCTGAACACAGACATCTAGGAACACTGCAGTTAGCAAAAATTGTTCTCTTTTTTGTACAATAGCAGTGACTTAACAGACATTTTAATATTAAAATCAAATTTAAATGGTGTTTAGCACATACACTTGCCAACTGTCTTATACAGCAAATTGCGCCATCTGAATATTCAAATATCCCTATTTTTCTATGCAGAAAATACAATTTCAGACCCAAACGTCTTGAGCAGAGTCCAGGAGATGCTCATTAAACCAGCACTCCCAGTCACCAGTGCCCAAAGCTGATGGTGGCTGTCCCTTCAGGATCAAATCCTGCCCCAAGGTCTGTGGGGATGATGCACACCACACTCAGGGTACCTGCCTCCTCCTCACCATCCAGCAACCTCATCAGATCAAGTAAATGTCACTGTCCTGCAATGGATGGCTACAGCTGGGGGAAGGCAGATAAGCCTAAAGGACAGCCTTACAAAGACTCTTGTGAGGTACATGCTTAATTATTAGGAACATAACATTAACTAAGGGGCCTTCTGACCCTGCACCTGGTCTCTGACGGTGGCTGTAAGCAAAGAGTCATAAAACAAGCATAGAAGAACCTTTCCCCAAGTGACCTCTGTGCCTCTATCTACCTGCAGCCAAAGGGATTTCCTGCCCCAGTCAAGATTTCTGGTTATTCAGCGGCCTCCAAACAATCTCTCATCCCATCACTTGATTGCTTCTGAAAGAAATTCTGGACAAAATTCAAGAAAGCAGATACTAAGCAGGCAGGCTGAAGTAAAGCTTGGCTGAGCACAGACTAGTGGAGACTGAGACCCTTGCGGGTACGTGGCAGAACCATGAAGCACGTAAATTGAATAAATGAGAAGTTTGCAGACTGGGTTCCTTGTGATGCAAAGAGCTGGCTTGTCTTCAGAACCTGTGGTATTTTTAGACCAGAATAAAATGTAAGTAGAAGCACCGACTCCATTCAAAGAAGCACACTGCCAGAAGCATCAAAAGCAATACCAAAATAACCAGTTCAAGCTACAGAGAAATGAGAAAATGTATTTTCACTTTGCATTTAACTAATAAAGGTTTCTGACACCTATACAAGTGAAACTAAAGGACCATTGACTCAGCACAATGGATAAAAGTTCCCTCCAGAGTCCCACCGGACCTCTCTTCAACCAGTTCCTCTCCATCCTAGCTTCCCTAACGCAAGGCACCCTGCAATAGCTGGTGTAAACGATACTGTTATTGCTCTTCTTTCCCTCTTTATTCTTAACTGCGTTGTCTGAACTTATCCTTCCATCAGAAGTTATTAATAAAAACGTACCAGGGAAAAATCTTGTTCCTACCCTATCTTACATACTTAACACAGCTCAGCCGAACACTTAATCTGGACCATGGTATCGAGTCATGCCGCGCCACCATACGATAAATTCTTATAAATCGTGTGATTAAAATAAACAACAAGCTATACATCATGCAGACAGGGCAAACTACTCAAGTCAGTTTACTGATACTACACACCTAATCCCCAATTTGTCTCATCTCAATGGTTGGGTTTAACATTCAAAGGCACAGATTATCAGATTGCTCTCGCTGAATTCAGTTGCAGCCCTTACAGCAGAGTGCTTTAAGTTAGTTTCGAGTAACTCCATTTAAAAACCCAGACATCACCAATTAATTTTGGATACAAACAAGCAAAACCTACTATTTTCTTCCTGCAGAAGGGAATTCATATGCTTGGCAGCCTTAATTATCTCATAGTAATTACGTAAAGCTATTTCTTCCAAAGATGTGACCTTTCAAGAAACTCAGAATTTCGGCTTTATGAGAATTTGCTGCATAGACTGCTCTGTGGCCATCACTGATCCTCCTGGTTTAGATACGTGATCTCCTCTCCTTTGACTGCTCTCATTTGCTGCTTTCCACTCCTGGAATGGAGCCCTGTAACTGGGATTTCCTATGACCCTGAGGGTCTCCAAACCCCTGTGCAATCTGCACAAATCCACTTCTGATCACCTGCTACACCTACTGAATCACATAAAATTGTAGAAACACAAAGTTGGAAAGGATCTATAAGATCATCCAGTCCAACCATCAAAGGTTGCTACCGCTACTGCTAGGTCCGGGCTCGTGCTGAGCCTGCTCTTGCCCCGCTTTTCTTTTAGGATGGATGAGTGCCAAGAAGCAGGGGTGCTCTTGTCCCATGACAGCAGGACATTCACCACCAGCTTTTGTGACACCGCTGAGGCTGACTCAAGCAGCCTCTCCTTCTTCTGAGATTTACAGTCCATGAGGCATGAACGGGCCAAGGAGCTCATTGTCCTGGGTGACTGCGTTGCCCTGAGTGAGGAGGAGGCACGCCGCAGATGAACGAGGCACAAAGTCCACGCTCGGGGGAAAGGCAGGGCTCACATCAGGTTCCTTGGTGCCACGACGTAAGTTATGGGCGAAGCTCCACGGCGTCTCTTTGCATCTCCCTGGTGCTGGTTTGCTCATTAAACAGAGGTAGAAATAAAACTCCTTTTCAAGCCTGGAGGCAGATGGGGGGAACTTCCAAGTCCGCCACAAATCTGACTGCATCGTTATGCTAACTTCACCTTACATTTTTGACAGGAAAACAACAAAACTACATGACACACAAATTTGCTTTCCCTTCAGCAGCTCACAGATGCAATTTTTAGCTCAGTCTTTTAAAGTTATCTTTTCTCCTCGTTTATGGCACGGATGGCTCCCTGCTAGATACAAAGAGGACCCAAACAAAATAGATCTGTAAATCCTTTTCTACTGCTGTTAACACAAGCTCCTATTTAAGGAAGATAAATGTAACTCCTTGCAAGCCCTCCTCCCCTTTATGCAGATCTCTCCAGTAATTACGCTTAGCTTCATCTTTAAAGCCCACCTGCCATCTGGCTGAATTAAGACTTAGTACGATGGTTCGTGTGCTGTGGTAGCTGGGAAAGCAAGGGGAGACTGGGTGCTGCATGGGAACACGAATGATAACTCATCAAGAATGGAGCAAAGCCTTCCCTGGTGAGAAGAGCTAAGCATTCGGGATGGATATGCTGCCTGCGAGGGGTTGGCCAGAAATAGTTTCCGTGTCTGAGGGAGGTGGATGACGGGAGCAGGCAGCTTCACGGGGACAAGAGACAAATGGGAAAGGTGTTTTGTCAGAGGTTGTTCTCCAGGGCAGTAAAGGTAATAAAAAGACAGCCTTTCAGGGAGCTTGCGATCTGATTTCTGCTTTCCCCAAAGGGGCATCTCCCATGCAGCAAGGAGGGTGCAAGAGACTGAACTGGTGGCACCACGGTGCCAAGTTACAGCTCTGCAACCAGCAAGGGAGCCTGACCCTCCTGCACTCCCAGCTGCTCACATCCAGCTCATGGCATCTTCCACCTGGGCCCCACCCCAGTGTGGCAGTCAAAATTCAACGGCGTTGTTTTGCAAAGACAAAGGCACCTGTTTCCCTTGACTTGGGGGAGAGAACATGGCTGTTCCCTTCCCATAGTCAAGGCAAGGGGTTACCACAGCACAGGTGTGGTTTGCATCGCATGGCACAACACGAGAAAGAGCACTGCATCTGTGTAAGGCAGGAGATACAGACAACAGCAGAGCCTGGCTGTGTTACAGCACACACTTCTAAGTACAAGAACTAAATGTTCCAATCACAGCTGTAACATCTGGCACTTACCTTGGATCCAAGCAAAACAAAAGCAATCAAACAAACAAATAAAAACCAAACAAATTAAGGCAAACTGACCAGGCAAAACACCTTTACTTGTGCGAATGCATTTTGCAGGTTTATGGGTATGGAGAGAAAGGCCAGCTTAGACTCTTCAGCACAGCACACAAAATAAATGTACACTCAATCAAGTAAAAAAGGCATCCATAAAGTTTCATTAGTAGTACTTAAACCTAACAATAGATTGAGGGACTTACAGTTGAGGGCTACTGTGCCACTAAGAAACTCTTAATTTCATTCCCTTCACAGGCAGGGGAGCCCACCAGCAGTTCTCCCATTTTGCCTAAAAACTTGTACAGACCTCGACCAACTATTTTTAAAGTAATAGGTTGCCTGTATTTAACAATTTGAAGTCCATAAAGATCCACTGCATCATTCTGGGAAGCCGTTCTGATGATTAATGCACCCCTGTTAAAAAAATAAAAAAATATAAAAGCATACCTTGGCTCCACGGTGAACTCTCGTTTCAGCTTGCAGCTCCTGGCTGGTGTTACATCGTTCCTGCCAATTAAAAAAAAAGAAAACTTTAGTATCTGGTAGCTTCTCTTCCAGTGATGTGTATATGAAGTACATACACCCCAATATCATGCTGCCTTTCAGCTTTCTCTTGACTGGTTTCAACCCCTGGCAGTCCTGGAGCACTTCACCAAAGGAGATTTATGAAGAGCATTACTGACTTCTGCCACTAGGACCTTCCAGTAAGAATGACCAGATGCCAGCTGCCTTCTTTCTCCACCAGGAGAGATGGTCTGTCTTGGAGCCATGCTTCCATTTAAAAGAGAAGAGGACATGGGAGGATTTGGAAAAGGGATTTTTCAGAGAAGAGCCCTGGCCCACCTTGAGCTATGGGATGTGGGGGACAAGGTTAGGGGAAGGGACAAAACAAAGAAAACCAAAAAGTGGCAGTGTAGACAGGAGAAAGTGAGAGGCAGACTAAACCAAGGAAAGACTTTTTTTAGCACACACGGTCAGGCAGCCTGAACTCCACGTGCTCCAAACACAGGGCTGTTGACTGCTCTGGGGTGTAATGGGGGTCACAGGTTTTCATTTCATCTGACATCCATCCATCCTGGAGGAATCTTTACAGTGAACATTGTATCAAACCAATACATTTCATAAAAAAAAAAAAAAGCTGTTTTGACAAATCACTACTTCGCAGTGAAAAAATACCACCTTTCAGAAAAGTTTCCCAAACAGCTCTTATCTAAACATGATTAACAATAGTCAGCTACTCAACACTTAAAGACAGTTAAATTAAAAAAAAAAAAAATGAAGTTTGATATTATACTTTTTCTCTTCCAATCCAAAAACATTGCTTCAAATATATTAGTATACAATTCACATTTGCCAAGGCAAAGACATGTTTTTGTTTTTGAAAAAAAAGGTGAAGAAAATACAAAAACATCCTGAAATTATTTGTTGCCAAATTAATGCTGTTTCCTGGGTTGTCTTAGGGGCATTGCTCATCAACTGATGGAGAAGATGCAATGTGGTTTCGCAGCGATCATCACAGAGCTGACAGAGTGTTAGGCATTGTCCAAAAAAGAAAACTGAAAACAAAGAAATGGCCTGGAGAATTCAGCACCTCTGTGCTTTCCAATCTGCAGCAGTCTGATTTATGGGCTTTAATGAGTGGGCAGTGATGCCTACGAGCGCTGTCAAAGCCTTTAGGGTGGTGCAGGATGCCATGTATTAAGGTGTCCAAACACGGATTTGGAAGCTTAGTGATACCCACTTGTTCCGCAAGCTCCAGCCAAGAAATCCAGATCGCATTCTGGTAATCCTACAGGAAAAAAGAAACAGAACAACACAAGGATTTGATGAGTACCTCTGTCCGTCATTAAGCCTGGCACTTGTGCATTGCTTTTCACAGTTCTCTTTCATCCACACCCTTTGTGCTCTCAGGCTCTCAGACACACAACATCTTGCCTAAATTTTGTTTCCTATTTGCAGTAAATATAATCAACCCAAATGCAATTTTTCTGTATTTGCGTGACCTACTGATACAGGGATTTCCTAAAAATCACTGCAAATCAGGCACTAGAATCCCCATGAAATATTACCTGATTTGGCAGCCTTGACCATCATATCTCAAATTCACGTTCTGAGACTTTCGTCTCACACACACACTGGAATAAGTAAGCCATTAACCAAGGCACACTTGAATCTTGCTGCTTCCCAAGCACTCATTTTCTGCAGGATGGATTTTCAAAACTCTTCCCCACATTAGGAGCCCATTATCATTTCTGGACGTGACTCTGCATCACTGGACATTGGTTTCTCCCAGAAGAAGTCAGAGAGGCGGTATGTGATCATTTAAAGATGCTCACAAGGGCCAAACTCAATTTGCGAAAGCAGGGAAGAAAATTAAGTCACATTAATTTTTACTGACATAAGTTAATTTATGGAGATTTAAAATCATGAACGTGAAAGAGAAAAAGGATAAAAGGATACAGAATTAAAGTACGAGCTCTGCTACAGCTAAATGAAGGTACTGAACTGGGAGTCATGGTTACTGGCTCAGTTTTCACTCATGCCCCATGCAGGGTTGCACAAGGTACTCTCTGCTCCCCATTGCCATGCAATAGCCAGAAACCCCATCTCACCTTAGACTAGAAATCCCTCAGGGCAGGAATCATCAGCATGCTGGTACAGCACTAAGCACGGTGGCATACTGCCTGCTTTAGACAATGGTGGAACATAATTATAAACAATGGTTAAAAACAAACAAACAAACAAACAAACAAAAACAGCATGGTGTCCCACAGCCCCTCCCCAAAGCATCAATAACTGTGAAGAAAAAGCCCTGGGATTGCTTGTAAAAGCATTGTTGTCCAGCACAGTGTACTCCTCAAGACCAACGAGTACCTGCCAACTCAGAAGCCTGCCTTCCCCAAACCTTCCCACGGGGAGCTGTGCCCACCATGGCACAAAGATATCTTGGTCTTTTTCCCAGGTGAAATCCTGTTTTGTCCCTCCCAAAGCAAGCATCTTGTATCTATTCCCAGGGAACTTGAGTCCTTCCAGACCCCAAAAGGTAAAGAGCTTGAATTAACTGAGCCTCACGTACAGACTTCCAAGTGCAAAGAGCAAGGAGCACATCATCCAGTGGAAGATGGAAAGGGCAGAGATTTGTTTCTGAGCTCTGGGAGTGGAAATCCACTTTCTTGATCTCTTTTGGCTCTAATTCCTTTGCCACCAGAAGCTCGCTTTCCACCTTGGGAGCCTTTTTATTTTTTTTATACAAATCTCATGAGATCACTGTGCTAACAGAGAAGATTTTTATTAAATCTAGCAACTCACAGTAGTGTCATAAGAGTGAAAAATATCAATCTACAGAGCATGAAAGTGAGGAAGAAGGGTGAATTGGAGGCAATTACAAAATGTTAATTTGACAGCAGAGGAACAACTTTTGAAGGAAAGAACAATAAAAGGCTGACAAACACAAAAAGAAGAAAAAGCATAGCATGAGCTTACCAAAGAGAGATCATACAAGAATTAGTTGGTAGCTTTCTCTAGAAAGATAACTCATTTCTTAGATAAAGGACATGCAAGAATGGAGTCTATTCAAACTTCAATAAAGTGTTGGTTATAATGCCACAAGGGAAATACTCAAAATGGAGAGAATGGGGATTAGCAGAGGAATTGAAAGCAGCTAAGAAATCAGCTCAAAGGAGGGACAGCAACAGATTGCACTGGGGAGGAATGAACCAGTCTGGAAGGTAAAAAAACAGTTTGGGGAATAATTTTCTGTATTATTTAAATTAAGGGCCTCTGCGTGACTTTTGGAGTGTGCCGATCCGATTTGCTGATGATAAGAACTGCCATCCCACAGCAAAGTTGGAACATTTTGCAGCCAGAATTAATGGGGTATGCCTTGGGACGGAGCTGAGCGGTGTCCATGGTGGTAATTTGGAACTGCTGACAAAAAATCACTTGCTGCTTGAAAAGATGGCTGAAGAAGGCTGTGGAGGATAGGCTGATTGTGCAATTACCACGCAGCAGTCTGAAGGTGCTGTGAAAAAGCCAAATCCATGCAGCTGGCAATGAAGGACAGATGGGATTGCCATTGGGTGGGCACTGCACAAAACTAGGGCAGGGGGGAAAGGTATGGACTAGGGCTACTTGAAGGCTAGTGGCCAGCCCAGTTTAGGAGAAGAAACTGAAGGAACTTGCTGTGCTTGTGTAGCAAAACAACAGCTGAGAGGGTCCACAGCTTCTCCACATACTTACCTTGCAGAAAAAGCCAGAGGTGGCTCTTTAAACCAGCGTTCACGTAAGCATGGCTGGATCTATCTCCTTCATAAATAAATTTAACCTGAAAGCATGATGGTTTCTAACAGGAAAGGTGCTGATGTCTTCTGACCCTTGCAGTAGGAATAAATGGGGACAGAACAGATGCAGATGGGGAAAGCAAGGATGGCACTTCTCTTCCCCAGTGCAGCGTATCATTCTTCTTAAGCTGTGGAACCAGAAGCACTGCTTCTGAATTCTCAAACACAGTGAAATTGTGACTTTCTCCAAACATTTTTAAACACAGAAATTATTGATTGTTTTAAACTCACGCTTCTGAAGACTGAGAGAGCTTTTCTCCTGTATTTAAGACGTGCTCCAGCAATTGCTCAAACGACCACTCGAAGATGAGGAACATGCTGCTAAAGGGGGAAAACCTGACAAAACCGTTGTTCCCTTACTGATCTCTCGGTCCTGAGCTACTCCAGGAGCCCTGCAAAACCCTGCCCAACAGCGAACGTGAGAACAAGACTGATAGCTGTACTGGGAACCAGAAAACATAAAACTCAATAAAGATATTAGTCTCATGGAACAATATAATCTTAGCCCCTCACTAACCTTACTGTGTTTCACAGGCTATAAAGGACCTGGCTCTCGTTTTCCTCCACGAGCTAAGACTCTTATCACCAGCTCTCCCTTTGCCAACGCTCCCACTATGCTACAGGCACCAGCTTATAGCATATTATTTTCTTTCAAAGATGCTCTAATGGGTACACTTCCAACTGAACTGTCAGCAAATGTCCTTAGCTTCGAAATCTAACTACGAGAAGAGCTTTTGCAACCAAAACCATACTACTATTTTTTTTTCCAAATACATTACACAGCTTAACGAAAGGTGTCCTTTGTTGCCAGCATTCTCTGACCATCAGACAGCACTGCCAACAAGACTTTCAGGCTGCAGAAGGTGATATCTGGGGGTGTGCAAATTGAAAAAGCCACACAGTCCTCCAGACAAAGATGCAGAATATGGCTGGAGTTTCCTCATTTACCAAAAAATGCCCAACTGCTTGGGGGAAAAGCTTTGAAGTTCCAACCACCAGATATCCAGTAGTTCAGACAGGCTTTTACAACAAAAACTGCTTCCTCCCATTACAGAGGAAATCCTCCAATGCTGTATGCATACACTGAGTTTAAAATAAACCAGTAAAAAGTGAGACAGCTGAAAAAAAAAAATCAAATGTAGTGGTTTGAACTTCACCTCTTGGGAAAGGTTTGGGTTGTTTTCAACCTGCAGTAATAAAACAAAGTAATAACCCTCCTTGGATGTGTAAAGCACCAAAGCTTCAGATGCCAGCACTCATTTCCTGCTTCGTTGCATAGGCGTTGCTTCATTTCTTGTTATTTATGAAATTTCCTCCCATACATTTTGATGGTTTCCTCATGACCAAGTCTTCAGAGGAGCTGGTAAAAATGTTCTGACTCAAGTCATCCTCGTGAAATGTGAAGTTTCAAAGAAAATAAATAAATCGATTTCCATCCAAGAAAATGTCACTTTTGACAGGATGTTCAGTTTTTCGATTGATTAACTCAAAAATGCTTGCAAACAGATTCTGGGGACTTGCTGTCTTTGAAAACTGAAGAACTGAAAATAGGGGTTGTTTTCCTGCTACACATTCGTGTCTGGACCAAATCACAGGAGGCCAAGAGCAGAAGGGGAAGCACAGACCAAGTCCCCTCCCTCCCTCACAATGGGTTTCAAGCTGATCTTGATAGAAGTCAGAAGAGGAAAATTAATTACCAGTAACTTGTAACGCTCTGAAATTTCCACTGTTAAGCATTATGAAGGCACATAATTAAACGGATCCCACTTATTGCACTATCCATTTTCCAACACTGGCTAAGTATTGAAAAGGCTGGAAAAAGGTAAAAAGCAGCAAAACAAAGTCACATACAGATGTCTAAAATGTCACTAAATTTAGGAGGGTGAACATCTCCAAAATGAAAGGACACAGAAGGTAACAAGAACGGGATGTCTGGGGAGAAGGAAAACACCAGCTCCTCTACTTCTCCTTCCCCTTCTGCACACACACACACACACACACATTTAAGTAAGAGATGCACCTAAGAGTGCAACAGAAGATGTGGCTGTGAAGTTACAACAGATTCCCCACGTCCTGGCTTAATTAGAAACTACACCCCCGCATGCATCCTCAAAGTTCATACCTGGACAATACGGCCATATGCAGGGCAGAGACACCTTTCAGTGCTAGTTCCTGGGGACGACCTGAAGAAATCTGTTTTTTCTCCAAGGCGCTGCCTGGGATTTTGCGACACGACATTTCTGGGCATGCTGTTTTGCCAGGTTAGAACCGCTCAGTCATCCACCAGTTAAAGCTGGATCAATACTAAGAGGGATTTACTACCTGCCTCAGTGCATAAATCTGCAGTCATTAAAGTGTGTATTGGAAAATCTGGCACTCAGCGTGGAGTTTTTCTTCTTTCCACCGAGGAAGTAAATATTTTCCCCCAAAGTAGCTTTTCCTAGAAAATTTAGCCTGCTTTTCTTAAGTTTATCACGTACATGCACATACATTTAAATTTCAAAAAACTTTTCTTAGTCCAGTCCGGGAGCATGGGTTGTTTGCAAGCAGCTGGAGATATTGGATAGCAAAAAAAAAGAGAAAAATCAAAGTAAGGATAACCAAGGATCAAACCAAGCAGTCGGTGCTTATCGAACACAGATTGCTATGTTGTAACTTCTCTTATTGGACAGATAACATGGACTCCTGCCCCCCGAAAAGCTGGATGGAGTGGCAAAGCAAGTCCCTCACCCACCCTGCCGCCAGTACAACCCTTAAGGCAAATCACATGGCTGGAAAGAGTTGAGTGAGAAGTGGCTTTCCAAAAAAGGGGAAAAATGGGGAGGGCTCAGCAAGCAAACCCAACGGGGCTGAGAGTAGACATGAAGGCAAGGTAACACTTGCCCAGTGTACTCACTGTTTGAAGTTCACGCTTTCCAAAGAGGTCAGCTGCTCTTCTCAGGAGGGATTGCAGGGAACAGAGTCCTCTTGGAAATGTAGCTAATGAAGTCACACCAATAAAATAAAAATATGTGCATTTTCTTGCATGCTTCCATATTATTAGCAATTTCATGGGAAACATATTTAGACCAGTTTGGACCTTTTTAATTTTTTCCCCCAATTCCTACACTCTCTCTTGCCATCTAAAGGTCTACGGCACTGGTAGGATTTTTTCCCTTGATGGCAACTTTACTCAGGATGAGGCTTTCCATTTTCAGCTCTCTGTTACTACCTTTCCAGGGAAATACACAGCCTTACATTTTCAGTTCAGCCAGGCATACAAGCAAGGGTGTTATCAAGGAAACAAACCGATTTCCCCTCTCTCTTTTCCACCAGGAGAAGACCTAGGTAGATCTCCAGCTCTTTGCCTACAGAAGGTGGTTCACTACCACTAGCCAGTCTCAGTGGATCGACAAGGAAAAGTCAGGAAAAGCCCCCAAAGTGGCTGACCAAAGCCCCCCTCCTCTTCATTTAACCACCGTGGTCCTCTGCATATTGGGAGGAGGTCTTGGCTGGCATTTTAATTTCCTTCCTGCTCCAAATCACTCTTAAGGGTTAACTTTCCCTGCCCAAAGTACAAATTAAATGCTGAAAAGACCGACTCTGATGGGGTGGAAACGCCAGGTTTATCTCCTGAGCCCCAAATGCTGTTCCCCACCATATATTTGCAAACTGGCAGTTGCATAAGAGCAAAAGAAGCCCTGAGAAGTGCGCGTGTGATAATCACAGCGTAATCACTGCTGATGAAACTTGATGTTCCTTCCATAATCGCTGTAATTTTAAGTGGATTGAGTGCCATTTAAGTGACAAGAGTGTTATGATGGATGAAATATATGCTTCCAAAGTTATATCAGCTTCTTTGACATTCATGGCATGGAATGCTTAGTGGCATTTCATGTTTGTAAATCTTTAGAAATAAGTTAAATATGTTAATTACCACTGGAAAAATCTCTCAAGCTGAAGTACTCAATGACTGTATCGCAGTTGTTGCTAGTGCTATATTCTCTTCTGCTTTTTCACTAAGCAAGCATGACATCTTAGGTCAGCGATCACACTCAGGATTTGCATCAGCCTTGATGTTAGCCCTTCCAGGTAAGTCAGCAAGCTGGCACCCAGCTCACACTGCCTGCTTTTCCCCCTGCTTGCAGTCTGAGCACCCTGATGTGCTGGCTCATCCTCCCGCAGGCTGGGGCTGAGCTCAGCAGACAGCAGAGCTCAGCAGGGACGTGCCAAAAAGCAGCCCCAGCCCGGGTGCCTTGCCAGCACGCTCAGCAAGCAGGGCAGGGGCAGCCATCCCCTCCCCACGTGCTTTTTGCTGCCCATCACACAGGACCAAGATCTGGGGCCAGAATGAATGAAGTGGCTACGGTGCTTTAATCCAAGCTTAAGGAGTGAGGATGAAGGCTGAGGGCACGCTGAGCATCATCTGCTGATGGCAGCCTGGGGCACATCGCAGTCAAAAAGGGTGACAGGGCAAGGCAAGTATTACCGATGGCATCACCTTCCTGCCAGGTGTGAGGTTCTGCAAACAGGCAGAGACAGAGATAAACCATCACCAGCCTTCCCTCGAGGAAGCTCTGCCCATGTCTGCTCTCCCACTGCTGCAAACCCCAGGCAACGGGATTTACACCCCAAAGACATTTCCTGCCCAGTGAGGGGGTTGCTCCAAACCAGGAACAGAAGTTACCAGAACAAGTGATCAGGACATGAAACAAGTCAGCAATGTACTCACTTCTTGGCATCCTGGCGACAGCTTCAAAAATGGGCCAGGTGAGATTCCTACAGGAACTGCAGGCAATGAACAACGGGAATGGTAGGTCAAGGCAATTGACTTCTTAAAAACTTAAAAAGTCCTGCCAGAAATTGACTTGGGATATTATTTAACCATCTTACAAACAGGTAAAAATATCAAAATGAAGTAGAACGTTTTGCAGATTAAACCCTCCCAGACCCTCGGTGATTGCTTTACCTCCCCTCATTACTGCCTTCTTTAGAAGGCAAAATTGCTTCATTTTACAAAACTCTCACCCCCAGCTTCTTATTTTTAAGTAAAGGCAATGAGAGCTAAGAGTGCACAGGCCTGAGAGTGGAGGATATCTGACTGGCGTGCCAGCCTGTCAACTCAACTCTTCCATCCCTTGAGCTTTCACAAAATTGTCCTGAGCAGCACAGCACAAAGTTCCCAAATCTCCTACGAGGGTGAGGAAGAAGGGGACAGAAAGCCACGATCCATTTTAAAGCAGCAGACAGATCAGGTACTGGCCAGAAACACGGCTCGCCACAGCCAGCCCACAGCACTGCTGCCCAAAGTGACCTGAAACTCATGAAATGAACTATTAATAAGTTAATGCACTCGTTATTTGCTCTGCTGTCGTAACTGTAATCAGCTGTTAATTGCAAATTACGAGCTGTGACTTGGATTTTTGAGATTTGAGCTGAAAGACCCACTTGCCAGCAGCATCGTTAAATTCAGGCAGGCTCCAGGCAGGCAGAAGGGCCCAGGCACGTGGCCTGAACAAGGGACAGGGCCCCTGACACAGGACAGGGACGAAAATCATCCTGGTTTGGCAATGAAAAGCACGTGCTTGCCTTTGAGCATAAGCCCATTCCTAATTTTAAGCATACGCTCAAGCGTTATGCTGAATTAAAGCCTTAAATCCCATCCTGAAAACTCTCAGGCACGCTACATTAAAGCAGCTTCGTTGACATTGAGAGGATTTTTGTAACCTGAGGTAAACCACGCACGAGGATGTTTGCAGGATTGGGTCCTACCCAATTCTAGGCCAGTGAAAGATTCGTAATGCTGATACTGCCTTCAGAATATTTCCTTTGTAGGCTGAACCCATTTCCATCAGATATAGACTACATTTTACGAGAAAAGTATTGGCCACTTTGATATGAAGAAAAACCCTCTGGGCTGTATCATTCCCTGTAATAAAATAAACTAAGATAGAAGTGAGATGGAAACCTGGAATCAGTAATGTGACCGAGCTGCACCGTAAAAGCTATTTACAGGCTTGCAATAATCAGATCAACGTGTAAGTCAGAAAGTTTTCCAGTTAAAGGCACAGATTTTGAAACCAGCTCCACACCAGAGCCAGCAAGAGGTTCCTAAATGAGCTCTGTCCCCATTTGAGGCTAATGTATGAAACAACAAGATTACCCTACGGGCTCGGTACCGTGTCCTTGTGGCTCCCAGTGCTCGGCATGGCAGCTGCTCGACACTGAGCACTTCTGAAGACCTAAAGGGGCCCGAAATGGCAGTCTGGGAACATGTTCCCCAACAAAACCCTCCCCTCCATCCCTCGGGTACAGTATTACCCCACGCAGCAGGCAGGCAGCCATATATATTTGGCTGCACTGGAGCTCATCGGAAAGAAAAATGTTCCTGGAGAAGGTTGTCCCCACTAGCACAACCCTGCCTTCATCTGTGCTCCTAACCCAAAGCTTTGGACTTTCTAAGGCTGACGCAGCCACTTCATTCACTCCAACCAGTGAGCAACACGCCATCAGCTCAAAAATTGGTTTAATATCATTAATGGGAACACCAGGTGAATAACCAGCTGTTTTCTTAGTATTATTTGAACACGGACTCCAGACGCCAACATATTTCTGGGATGGCAGTGAAGAAATTGTTCCTGCATCTCGTACCATTTAGTGGTTGCACTAAAATTATAGAAATACTTGCAAGACTGAGGGGTTCATATAACCGTGTGGTCCCAGGCACCCCTTCAGTTACCCCAAAATATACTTCTCTTGCAGCATCTGCCTAGGCCTATGGCTCCCCGTGCAATACCTCCAAAGCCTGCAGCTACGCAACACATAAAGGATTGCCAGGTCTGGTTTTCTCAAGAAAAGTGTTATTTTGTGAGAAGGCAGGAAGCACAGCATATGTGGCTCATGCGATATATTACTTTAAAAAAAAAAAGAAAAAAAAAAGAAAGAAAGAAAGTTGAGAGTACTTTAATGCAATGTGTCATTCTCCACAAGGATTTATCATAACTCTGCTGAAATCAGTGGGGACTTTGCCATTGACTTTAAGAGGGATAATATTTCACCCTGAGTTCTCAGCTATTGATCTGATCAAGTTAAAGTTTCAATGTGTCACTTTCCTGTTTGTAAAAAGGGAAAAAAATAAAATAAAAAGCTCCATTTTCATGAAGGTAGCTTGCCAAGACAATTTTCTAACTCCAAAGATTTTTCATTTTAATCTGGTAAAGAAGCTAATGGCTTCATTTGATAACATCCAAAAACTTATAAAAGAGGTCACAGAGGTAGATTCTTAAAGGCACTTAAAAGTTGCACCCCAATTTCTCCTCCCTACCCATACCTGGCTCCAGAGACGGGTTCAAGCACCCAAAACCAAGAAAAGAGATGATGAAAAATGTTTCCTCAAAAGAAAACGGTCTGCAGAAAATGAAAGCTTAAAGGAAGGAAGAAACTGAGGAAGATTAAAATGTTGATGGTTTTCACTGAGAATTAAGTGTTCAACCACTCGCTTTTGCTAAAAAATGTCTGTCCTGTGTGAGCAGGAACCATCCCACTGCTGGCTGGGCTCTCTGTACTGCTCCTAAATAGAATCACCCGTGCTATTTTTGTAGAAAAACAAAAACCAGAACAAAACAACCAAACAAAAAAGTACTGAATTAAACATAAAACGATGTGACTAGTTAGGCCACCCACCAACTGATGAGGATTTTAAGAGGAAAGCTGATCAGAGATGCAAAGGGAGGAAAACATAATGGCTTATTTACACCCTCTTAAACAGAAACGCTTGCTTGTGAGCCAGGCAAATTTCAGAAGCTTAACTGTAGAGGGGACAAAGGGCTTTGCTGTATAACTTAATGATGTTTAATAAGTTCTGGCAAAACATCCCTCTTTACCCACTCGGGTGTGTCTCAAACATTGCCATCAGGATTATAAAATAGGGGAGTCCATAGGAAGCCTCTAATGGTCCCAGTAAAATTCTCCCTGGTCATCGTGTGGCAGAAATTCCCAGGTGAGAAGCAGCACGA